TTAACGGCCAACCCGCTCTACCTCCTGAGCCACAGCCGCCCACTCATCCATTCAGACTTGTTTTAATGTTCTGGATCATGCTAACCAGTAACCTACCGCTGTTGCGATGTGTAGAGGAGCAAAACAACCCAGAATGCATCACGTGGTTTATGGTTATTTCCTGTCCTGACCGGCCTCAGTGGAGGTTTGCAGTTGGAACCCTCTCGATTGACATTGTAATCCCGGAAAACTGAGCGTGTGAAAGCGCCTACAGAGAGATCAACGAGGATTCAAGACTGTTCATCTCTCACTCTTTAACTAAGGGATCATCTGCTTTCATTTATTCCTCTTCACTGATTATGTACATTTCAGCTGAACCTGATTCAGTACCGACGTTTAAACCAAGACTTTTAGCACTTTAACTGCCATTTCACCTTCTTTCAGCAAGGCGACTTTACTTATAGAGCTCATTTCATGTGCAATTCAATGTGCTTTACAGAAAATATTTTGCCCACTGCTCCCTTCAGGGTTGGGTTAAATGCAGAGGATGAATCTCGTATGTGACAAATGAAGTACCTTTCAGACTGAATCTGAGTAAAAACAAACCAGCTGCTGTTTGTCTTCAGGCTTTGGACAGGAACACCAAAGCAGCACAAAATGACTGAGCTGCTGTTTAACAGACAATGATCGAACTGTGAATCAGGAAACGGCCTCTGAGCTGCCGCCGGTCTGTTGTCCACTCACTAGAAACAAAATATCTGAGGATTTATGTGGCTGCTTATCGCTGCGGTCACTTCGATTCCTTAAGGGAACAATAAGTCCACCACGGCTCGACTCAAACAGCGAGCTGGCCATCATTGATTACATTTGGTTTTGACCACGACGACACACAACACGTGTAGATACATGTAGACATGTGTAGGCCACATGCAGAACATACAAGAGCGCATTCATGAATAAATACAAATAGACATTCAATCTCACAATTAAAAAAATATGATGCAGAAAAATTTAATTTTAATTGTTTTATCTTTAAATGTTTAATTTCTATTCCGATGTCAAAACATTTCAAATGTCTTTGTGTGATTTGCATCTAAATGACACATTTCCGTTAGAGTAAATCAGCTGCATGTTTTCTGGTCAGAGGAGCAACATTCAGCAGAATCATTAGTTTCCCAAACAGCAGCCTAAACCTCGCCTGCAGAGAGGTCCAGGTTTTTGCAGAGACAGGTCGTTACTGCTAATTTCCTGTTTTATAGTTCCATATTTTAGTTAGAAACCCCCCCCCCTCAGTTCCTCCAGCACTTCATGTTATTCTTTTATCTTGATAAATTCAGTAAGCTGGAATTTCATGCTGATCCAAGCTGTAGAAGTGCTTCAGCTGTGAGTAAAGTCACATTTCTATGTGAAGCCGGGAGTGCCGAAACGGCTCCTCCTCCTTCACAACTCCACAAATGATTATTTTCAATCAATTAATCAGCCATTTCCTGATTTAAATTATTCATTCTTAGGTTTATAAAATATTTTAAATGTCCATCTCACTGTCCACAGTGACGTCTTCAAGTGTCTTGTTTTGTCCAGAGTTCATTACACCCAAACATGCCCGTGTTCCAGCCCGTTCTCATGCCAGGGCGCCCCCATATGGACGTTGTTTTTTTAACGCCCTGGGTAACCTTTAGCGTCGTTTTTACACATTTAGGACTTGTGGTCAAGTTAGCAAGAATAAATATGCAACTTCCGGTCAGACTTTCAAAATAAAACTAGTGGTTAACATCGTGAAACGTCACAATTTGGGTAGGTTTAGGAAAAGATCATGGTTTAAAATAACTTGCATAACTTAACTAAAAAACGATCATTGTTGACATTTTGCTTCAAAAGGGAAACAAACACCGGTATCCTCTGTGAAAGTCCGGTTTCTGATCCACGCGTCCAGTCCAACCACCTCTTTACTCTTGTTCATTTTATTTCTAATGCTGGGTACACACCAAAAGATAATCGGGCTGATTTTGGGCCGATTATCTTGATGGTTCTACAGATTATCTGATCAGATTCTCCCTTGGTGTGAGGTGTGTTAAGAGTGTCCGAACCTGATCGGAAGAACGTCGGATCGTAAATATTCGACATGTTGAAATCCTGATGTGTGGGGGGGATCCCAGAGGACAAACGCGCGCACGTTCTGGAGATTATCACGTGAAACTAAACAATATCCAATCAGAAAGCGAGATGATTGAAGACGGAAGCATAAGAAACACAGTCATGGCGCAGCACACACACACACACACACACACACACACTATAGGAGCAAAACGGTTAAATCTAGGATTTTTTCCTCCTCATGTTTGTGGTCTATCACATTTTGAAAATCTTATAAGATGTAAAAAATCCTTTGGTGTGTACCCAGCATAACACCTGCTTTTGTTGAACTATGACGCTAAGTGGTCCTGACCATTCGCGACGAGTTGGGAGTGAGAAAGGGTTTCAGAGACAGGAAGAAGGAAAAAAAAACAAGACAACAAAAAGGAACAGAACAACTTTAAAGTATAACAGTAAACACCAACAACCCCAGAACCGTGACTTGCAGTATTTTGTAATGGGGAAGAAACACCTGCTGTTTTTCCCGGGATATTTTCAAGGCAAGGCAAGTTTATTTGTATAGCACAATTTAACAACAAGGTAATTCAAAGTGCTCTTCCCTTAAATCGATAATGCATTTAGCTGGAAGGGCCACGTAAATACTCTCTGCTCCAGACTTCAACAGAGGATGCTGTTTTATCATGCAATACTAGAGAGTACAGGCCAAATCACAGATCACACGTCTGGTACAGACAGCCATGAAGATTATGGGGGTCAAAAACCATCCGCCCCTCCAGACAATTTATGAGCAGTCGGTTATCAGACAGGTAATCCTAAACACTAACATGTAGGCTGGCTGGGTTGTGCACTATGTCATTGTGCAATAAGAAGGCTATCGGGGTTATGCAATATGTTAGTGGTGCAACACCTGGGCTGCTGGATTGTTCAATATGTCATCATGTATTGCACATGTTATGTGATATGTGTCATTTGTGCAATATGTAGCCTATTAGGGGTGTGCAATATATCATTGTGAAAGGGTTGTGCTACAGTGCGGGGAATGCAGCCGGCAGGGTTGTTCAATCAAAACTGGCATTGGAAGAAGGAGTCAGTGTGCTACTATATAGTATAGTAAGAGTTAGAGGTAATCCAATTGATGACCCGTCGGTAATCATCCGCTCGCTGCTTACTCCATTACTGCATAGCTGTCAAGGAATTATGATGAGTGCAAAAGCAGAAGAGAGCCCAAATGCAACACTGGAGAGCAGAGGTTTTTAATTCAACAAAAGATCCAAAGACGACAGGTAACTCTGAAGCAGGCAGAACACACATCTCACACCAATGACCGGACCCAAACTGAAAAAACAAGCATATGTACAGGGACTAACGAGCAGGGCAGGAGCAACACAGGTGGCAGGGATCAGACAATCAAGCACACAGAAACACAGGCAGGCAGAGGGATTACTAAACAGACTATATAGCAAAATAAGACGGAACAGATCAGAATAATATAAATAAACTAATCCAGACACAAGCAGGCAGATCACAAATAAACTACCACCAACAGGGAAAACAGACTGAAACTAGGACTAAACAGAACACAGAGCAGACAAAGCCAAAATAATGCAAACACCAGGAGTGAAAACAAAGACGTTAACTAAGAGACAGAACTGAAATGCAGGTGTAAACCTAAGATACAAGACAGAACAGGTGCTAAGTGAGCTGAACAGAAATAAACAAGGCTACACAGAGGAAACACAGGACAAGGAACAAAAGCCCAAAACAGAAAACATGGACCAACTGCTAAACAGAACAGGGCAGGGAACAGAGAGAGGACCAAGCAGGAAACAGGACTACACTTAACATGGAACAGATCAGAAATAAGGAAGATACCAAAACAATACTGAACACTAGCAGACAGATCATGACCAGAGAAACAGTAACATCAGGTAGAGAAAGCAAACTAAGACAGCAGACAGACAGGATCGTGACAGTAGCTGCTTTGGAATCCGTTTCCTTCCAGACCTTTTCAGGATGGGTGATGCATTTCTCTACAGTGTGTGAACTGAAAAAATAATTTACGATGTGTGAATAAAGAATGCAACCTACAGTAATTCCTCTGCATGAATGGTTATGATTATCGAGGAGTTAGTACTTAGCATTAATAAATTAGCGACCAATGTAGACTGGGCGTCTTGCACAAGGATTTAATGAATAAAAACAACCCCAAAAAATTAAACAGATGTAACTGGAATTAATATTAGGCCTAGTGGTAAACAACATCTAAAATTATAATTAATATAGTAACTAGAAAAGGGGGCGAGGAGTTGCCTGGAAATGTCCCTTATAATTATTATCCCTTATTTTGTAATCCCAGTGTTGACAGGTATGGTCAACATGTGGAAAAACTACTTTCATCATCCAAAAAAGATAAAATATGTATAAAGAACAAGAGAACATTAAACTTCTGGTGAAGCAGTAATCTCTCTACCGTTTGTGTGAAGAAGCAGCAGGAGAAGAGTTGTCACACAGCGTTTCCTTTGACAGGAGGAGAGAACGCAAAAAGTTTCACCTGCAGCTGAGACGGGTTTTTTCTTCTGAGGTCAGTGGAGCGAGACGAACAGGTTTCAAAGCCGAGGACAGATTGTGACTGAACCAAGCCAACAGGAACTGAAGACCGACAGGAGGAGGAGGAGGAGGAGGAGGACGAATACACTCAGTATGTGGAGGTGAAATAAAAGTAAAGGCCAGACGGAGGAGAAGGTGAGGAAGAAGAGAGAAGGAAACGACTGCAGGGATAAACATCCAGTCGTTCACATTTGTCTCTACAGGAAGGACAGACTTATTAGCACTGCCGCGGGGGGAGGGGGGGATCTTCTTCTAGTACTATCTTTATGTACCCTGAGTGTATGTATGTGTGTACTTTACGTCTATGTACTCAAACTCACCACTCAGCTCTTCTTCCAGAACTTTCTGCATGTGCTTCATCATGGCCTCCAGCTCACTGACCTGAGGACAGAAATCAGTACAAATGTCACATCCTGAGAACAAACACTTTGTGTTGGTGGTGTTATTGTCTTTAACAGCAATTCATTGTGTCGTTGCTGAATCAGAAAAATACACAATGCTGCTTTGTATTACGCTTCTTTATCTTTTCTTGATGAACATAACAAAGAAACTTACCTGTGAAACATTCACTAACACTTGTATTTTGGGACTGGAGTGTGATTCATGTTTTCATGGTTTTGTTCAGGAAAAATTATGCTCTGTGTTCAATATGGAAAAAAATGTATGGTGACTTTACCAGGGTCACGCCACATACCTCTCTACTTGTGCGTGATGGCTGCCTCGCAGTTCATAAGGGAAACCCAGTACAGCGCAGGTACGTGCTGTACTGAACTAAAGTCTTACAATGCTTCCAATATCCTCGCGTATTTAACTAATGTCATCAGTCTGTAGATGAAAAACCAAATTCATTCCACTAGTCGATGGGAGCCCTGTAACACAACAGCTTCTGCGACTCGCAGACGTCTACACCAACACATTGTCACTCGGTCCTTGGCGTAGGTTCCTAACACCGTGGGTACTCTTTGGTGTCGTTTTTTGACATGTAGGGCTCAGTGGTAAAGTTAACAACGATAACTATGCCACGTCCAGTTAGACTTTCAAAATAAAAAAAAAGTTAATGTAAAACATTGCGAAACATCGCAATTTGGTTGGGTTTAGGAAAACATCATGTTTCAGCTTAATAAAACATTCATTACCTGACTTAACTTGTATGTTATGTACCTAATGAATAAAAAAACCTCAAAGTTGACTTTTTGGAACAAACACGAGAATGTATTGTCCACACACACAGTGTTTCTACATAAATACAATAAAAGTCCTGTTAACACATGAAGAGATTTTGTCAACAGAAACACTTGAGGGCTTTAAATCTGAGATGGATACAGGACGTGTTGAGTCTGAGTCCTCCTCTACAGATACAAACTGTACTGAAAGCTGTTGCTGGTAAATTGGTCCTGTAACTATCAACAGGTCATTTTCACAGCTTGAAAAGCAGGTGAGGATCTCTAAATGAAGCGCCCTGACTTCTTTTTGCAATCAAAACAAAAATTTTAAAAATTATAGCACCCATCTTTCCGAAACCTAAATAATGTTTTTAATTGCCAAAGCTGAACCTTATGCAGATGACACGATCCTGTATACACATGGCTCTCCAGCTCAAGCTTATTTTAGAAGCCTGTTTTGTTACATTTGTTGAAATTCTATACATCCCGATGTGACGGAGGCCAGCAAGGCTGTGCAGTGAGTAAACCTCACTCCCCGACACCTTAAGAGACACACTGGCGACCAATGATAGTACCCATGGGCAGTGTTGGGGGTAACGCGTTACAAAGTAATGCTGTAATCAAATTACTTTTGTCTGCAATGCATCTTTGTTGTCAGTTTTGTAATATTAAAGAGCATAAAAGAGAGATCCACTGTATGTTCTCATTATCATAAGGATTTGTGTTGATCTGAGCATTTATGAGGCGTAACTTGTTATTTGGCAGTTATTGTGCATCACAGGTGATGTTACGCAGTAATCCAAAAGTAATGTAACTAGTTACTTTCAGATCCATGTAATCCATTACCTTTTTGGAGTAACTACCCAACACTGCCCATGGGTTTTAGCCTCCCGTATCCAAAGTTGCCTGTCCGAGTCAGGACGTTTTCGGGGGAAGCCAGTTACACCAACAGCAATGACGGTATGTATCGGTGGCTGTCAGAACTGTAAAAAGCACAGCCAATCTTCATTTGGTCAAATTGAAAGAGAGGGATATTTTCAGTTGGATACTTTCTAAATCTAGCTGTCTCTCGCAAGTTCTCTAACGCTACCTATCCTGAATTCAATTCAATTTTATTTATATAGCGCCAAATCACAACAACAGTTATCTCACAGCGCTTTTCATAAAGAGCAGGTCTAGACCGTACTCTGTGATGTTATTTACAGAAGCTCAACAATTCCCACCAAGAGCAGCACTAGGAGACAGAGGCAAGGAAAAACTTCCTTTTAAATGTTCCTCAGACATTTCTGCAGAACATCAAACCTTAAACACATTTTTCTTCTATTTTTTTCTTTCTTACATCTTCCTGTATCCAAATGTGATGGTACTAAAACCTGGGAGTCTAAACCTCATGTGGAACAACTGGCTCAGAATCTGAAGTTAAATGTTTTCTAATATCAGAATGAAGCAGGTGCTTCCCTTGCGTGACTACAGAGATATCCTGCACTCTCACGATGCCCATTCCACCGTGAAACACCTCAATGCACTTCACCACTGAGCCCTGCGTTTCAACACAGGAGAGAAATATCACTAATTACTGTTTACAGTAGCCAAATCCAAAAACATGAGTTTTTAGATTGCCTTCAGACAATGTAATAATCACTTGAGTTTTATCCCCGTTGTTCCACGGCCAATGCATCATATAAATGTGCCAGTTTTATTTCACATAGTATTTCTGTAAAACAAACAGAGCGAAGATGCACAGAGATGATGTCTGCAGGAAGTTAATCCAGTTTCGTTTGATTCACAGTCCAATTAAACTCGATTTAAACATTTAAACTGCAGTCAAACACTCATTAAGGCTGTGTGGAGGACAGTTTGGAGGATGTGTGGGATGTGTAGATGTGATACAGGCACAAACGAACCACTTTAACACACAGCTTTTCTGTTTTATCACTGACAGGATTTTCTTGCATGCAGCTCTTCACACAGGAATGTTTATCTCCCGACTGACCGACACCAGAACAGAACTGGTCCAATAACACCCGAATCATTCTTATAATCTTAATCTGAATGATCAGCGAACAAATCACTTTTGATACAGGGGGAAATTTCTAAAGGTCACAAATTTCTGAAGTTATTTATGATGTATTTATTATATGTGATGATGATGATATCATTACAAAGGGTTTAACTAGGGCTGGGTATCGAGTTCAATACTTTTTAGGCACCGACCGCCTCAATACCATCGAGTATCAAAAAATGTATTTCTTGTCTTTCGGTACCAAATTTCAATACCTAAAGGTTCTTGTTAACATCAGTGAGCCAATAAGCATGCAGCATGCTTGATGTGCCCAAATCTAAAAGTGATTGTAATTGGCTGTGGGGATGTAAACACTAGTTCACGCCTGTTATGCACAGAGACGTGGCTCGTGGATGTAAAAGACGTGGAGAAAATCAAAAGTGTGGGTACATTTGCGACATTTTTGAAATGACAAGAAGTTTTTTAAAGTGAGGAGGAACGACCAGTTCTTCAGTGCCCGAGCCTTTTAATGTGGAAACGGCGACACAGCTTAGCTGAAAGAATAAAGCTGATATTTTCATACAGCTCATTAGATCACATCAAATCATTTACATTTATCTAAAGCGACTTACAACCGGTATACATGTCAGAGGTCGCACGCCTCTGGAGCAACGAGGGGTTAAGTGTCTTGCTCAGGGACACAATGGTGGATCCACTGTACCATCACCACCACATTATTGTTCATTTAGGCATTCACTCTGTCTCCCTGCATGTGTCAGCTGCAGCCGTGCTACAGTGTTCAGTTTGCTCTTCAAATGTAAAATATGCCTCTCTGCTGACAGTGGACTTGTTCATGTCTGCGTTGGCCATCTGCTGCTAACTCCGCCTCTTTTATGTGAACGCGCTCACGGCTGGATTGGGAAACCCTGGGTTGAGTTACCGAGTTGTTAACCAGCTTCGTGGTACCGCTTATCCCGATCGCAATTGTTCGGGTTGGTGAAGCCAGATAACTGAAAGAGATCCAGGATATTTTGAACTCGCAGACCCCTGGTTTAAAAATACAGAAATTACCCTTCGACTGTAAACCCCTTTAACTGACAGAAGTTCCTGATGTCAACGTTCTCCACATGACTTTCCATCGTTTGAACTTTGACGGCTTTTTTGAATGGAAACTTGCTGATGACAAGTTTATATATAATATATCAAATATCATTAAATCATTATTCTATAAGAAGCACCAGTGGATGTTTGGCCTGGTGCAGCAAAGTGCCCTTAAACAGCCCTGTAGACAACTGTGAACCTACATTTAGTTTGACTGCACCACCACAGCACATCCACCTGATTTATGTATAATTGAAACAAATAATACGTTTACATCTAAATATGACTGAATTCAAGATTCATTGCTATCAACTCCCGTCAGATATTCCGAGTTCACTTTGAGACAGAAAGCTTCTCCTCAGTGTCTCTTCAGGGTGTGAAAGCCTCCCTGCATGTAATGAAAACACTTTCAGTATCTGCAGCAGCAGAGCCTCAGCCAATATGTTAAACTCTTCAGGGAGTTTCGTTTGGAGGAGATGGAGGTATTTCACCCTGCTGCTGCTCTCTCTTCACCTGATTACACTGAGAGAGATGAAGCTGCTCCCTCTGAGACTGTGCTGCTGCTCCACCGTCCTCTCACGACTACCCAACCAACAATAAATATACTTTTTCATTATCTATCACAATAAGCTCTCCTGCTCTTCTTCATTGTTACCGTCAGCTCTCCAGACAGTAACAACTGAGAGGGAGTCAGACTGATGGAAGTCTTTCTCTTTGTCAATCAGGAACATTTATGGTTTTCATTTCTGTTGATATGAAATACAGTCGGAGTCATACGAGAAGTCAATCGGTCACATTACAGCAACTTCTCTTCCTTCTCACTCACAAATGTTCAGCTAGCAACTTATTTTCAGTCAGCTCTGACAAAGATTATATCAGCTGTAACCAGAGGTGTAGGTATAGACAGTGCAGACAGGAGAGAGAAGAGCAGGAGGAGAGGGTCGCAAAGCTCCCGAAATTAGATTCTTTTGGATTCACTAAAACTCCCCAGTCTAATGTCCCTCCTCGCAGCAGTACATCGCCATCGGCTCAGCTTGCCTCCTCATTATCTACACCGCTGCCCTCATGTAGCCGGTTGGTAGAAGCAACCTGAGCAAGCTAGTTAATGTTGGTCT